CTATGCATACAACTGTTGCTACTCATATGACCATAAATCTTATTATTACTGCTCCAATTGTTAGTGCTAGTATTAATTACTAGTACATTGCAGACAAGAAACTGCACATGGTAGTGCCCAATAGCTAGACCCACAGCATGCGATTGCAACTTGTCATTCCCCAATAAATAGCTTGGCCCAACCCAGGACCTTGGAAATTGTAGTTCGCGAATAGCTTGCGGCAGAGTAGAACCGCCATTCAATTTTTTGTTGATCATTGATGCCTATCATTTTTTTGTTGATGGCTGTGGGCCCAAATCTGTTTATCAAAATCGTTTTGTGATGTTTCACTCCTTTCTGAGCCAATTTGGGGCTGCGTAACAAAGTGCAGCAGGCGTTGGTACTGTATGCTTTAGAATCGGGCTATGCTGGGAATTTCGGATTGTATCTGAGGCGTGGCTTTGTGGGTTTGCGAGTTTTAGCGGTTTGGTGCTTTGGGGCCCCGGAAACAAGCGGATCGGAGGCGAAGGCCTTACGGCTACGGTAACAATAACGATAACCTAATACAGTATAATACAGCAAATATACTTTAATATAGTAAAACAAAGTAATACAGTTCAACATATTTCATTATAGTACGGACAGTTTTCATCAAAATATACTACAATATCGTAAAATATAGGCAACAACACCTGCCCGGAAAGGTGCAGTTGTGGCTGCAACTTCTGCCGTTGCGGTAGGCGCAAGTCGGATGCATGCTCAGCCCTCGGAGATGGTCCCATAAAGCTTTCAGGGCCACTTGAAGGCTCTTTTAAGGTTGTTTTTAAAGGGCTACTTTAAAGGGCTTCTTCAAGGGCTACTTTGAGGGGGTTTCTTCAAGCGTTCGAAAGCAGAGGTTGAAACATGAAGAGGGGTCGATGGAGAACTTCGATCAAAGAAGGGGAAGCCTGCCGTTAGACGAACAGCCTGCCTAGTGGACTGGCAGCTTTGGGTTTTCCAGTCTGCGACATGGGTGCCCGTCGTGGATTCTACGGTGTTTATGGAACCGTAGATCCTTGTATAACAGAATTTCATGCCTTTTTCGAAAATGCGAGCTTTTGGGTATCCGTAGAGCCCAACACCTCCCCCCCCTAAAGCAATGGGAGGATGCCTTTGTCGAGGCTCCCTGGTTGGCGGAAACTCTATCAGAGCCCCAAAAAGTTTTTGCCTGTAGGTGGCTGAGGCTCTGAGGCTCCACCTTTTTGCATGTCGGGCTTAGTAGGCGCGGGAAGGGGCGCGATGGATTTAATCCCGACCAACTAGCATCACTCTTCATAGTATCCTGTCATGTGAATTCACAGTGCCGCCGAGCTTCAACCAAGGTAGGATCCTGCATCATTAGCCCTACGCTTCCAGGTTATCGGGTCCAATAGTTCAGAACCCAGATCCCCGGTTGGATCCAAAAAGTAGACCCCATGATATGGGACCCGATGCTACCAAAGGGTACTTTATAGGAACCCTTCCAGGGTTCTACTTTTTGGATCTTCCCACGGGCCTGGGAAGGAACTCCACTCGCTAGGTCGCTCGTGCAAATAGAGAACTGAATACCCGAACCCCAAGCTGGCACCCCAACCAAGTCCGAGGCCAGTGCTTACGATTTCGGGTTTCGGGGTTTTTGGTTGAAAATTGCAGGCTTGTGTCGCGGCACCTGTTGTCCCAGGGTTTTTGGGCTGCGGCAATAACCTTCGGTTCTGAGGCGGCTGCTGGAGGCATATGGTAGCCTAGATCTGTCTAATTGAAGGTGTTTGTGTAGAAAACAGAAATAACACATGTGCAAAGGTATATGGATAGATCGACAGACAGACTGATAAAGAAGGAGATAAATGCATGGACGTACAAGCAGATTAGAAGGGTTAGGTAGATAGTCAGAGGTCAAAAAAAATAGAACACAACAGATTGAGGCTGGGTTTAGGCTTGATGGACGTGCGAGTACATGCATGCCACTGGTGGGTCAGTTTGTTCTTTGTCACTGTTCTGCCCGCACGCACGCATGTGCAAATACACGTGGGCTGCTTTGTAGATGAGAAACGAAGCCAACATCGACACATGTGCATTTGTGTCTTGTATGTGCGCAAACCAACGAGATAACATAATAGGCACGGTTCGGTTTGCAGGTCTACATTGCGTACATGCATGTAAAGACACACCCGGCAATATATGTTCAGCCCGAGCAATACAAACTGAGAGATGCAGACACCGTAACAGCAGTCATAGCACGACGACCAGCAGGACCGCGACCACCAAGACCATCACCAGCAGCGCCACCAACAAAACCACTGCCCTTTATCACTAGATGAGAAGGCTAGCGCTGACAATGGTGCGAAAACGTCGCGTCTGATATACATTCATATCTAAAACTTTATCTATATTTAGATCTAGTTCTATATCCATATCTATATGTATATCGGTTTATATTTATATATATATATATACGCAGATGCATATGCATATGTATGTGTGTGCAAGGGATATACACAGCCCGAATCTATATGAGAATAGCAGTATTAACAGGAAGAACAATCATAATAATAAATGATGAAATTACCATGTTTATATGAACGGAAAACGATCATACAACACGAAGAACAATAAGAACGATCACACTGATAATAACTGCTTAATAATAATTCTTCACATGAAGTTTAAATATAAACAGTAATAAGAATAAGAAGAAGAACTATCGTAATATTACTGACATTCCTTATAAAGGTACAAAATACAGAATAGCCCTAACAAGACTAATCATATTACTTGCGAATAATAGTACTGATAATGACAATCGGCGCATGTGCACATAAGTCCCTTTGTGTGTATGCACAAGTTTTATATATATATATATATATGTATATACATCTACTTGTGTTTGCATATGCACATACACCCACATATGTATGTATATATATATATGTACATACGTACATACCTACGAACATACACATGAACATACATACATACATACATACATACATACATACATACACATACATACATACGTACATACATACATACTTACTTACTTACATACATACATACATACATACATACATACACACACACACACACACACGCACCTGCATGCGTGCGAAATATATCATAGCCCCATAACTACGTAACCTTACCTACGT